CACAACAATCTACCACCTCATATGTACGTGAAAGTCAGGCAGGCTTTACACCCGAACGTTCCACGGCTGACGGAGTTTTCTATACCCGGGTCATGTGCGAACGTGCACTACTTGGTGACTGGAAATACTCTGCCGCACTATTGAACTTCAGCGGAGCATGTGATACCATTGTCCGTGAGAAGGCGGTGGCGCCGTTTTCAGACTCTGAAGCTGCCACTGATGTCGTTCCCACTCTGTCGGACACGACGGTGAGAGTGAAGCTCAGTTCTCATTTAGGCAAAGCATTTGCTACAAATATCGGAGTAGTGCAGGGGGATCCGCTCTTTTCCATCATGTACAATGTGTATGCTGAGGGAGCCATGCGCCACCATGATCCTATGCTATCGTACTTATCTTTACCAGCACCAACCACCCAATATGTAGACGAAACAACAATCCATGACACGGAGAGGCCAGAAGTCGAGGAGATGGTGGAGAAATTAAGTGAAAAATTCAAAGAAGATAACCTAATACTCATAAAAAGACTAGTCATGTGATATCGGATGTGTCCACCGCACATGCTGATTGTCCTGATGTTAGTTCTGACAAGTATGAGTCATTCATTGCTAGTCATTTTGTTTGAGCATCCTGATTGTCGTGCTGTGTATTCAGATGATTGTTTTTCGATTGTGTCACGTGTACGCAGTGCTAGATTGCTGAATGTTTTGGAAGCCGTATACATCCACACAAAGAAACCCAACCCTTGCAAGCAGAAACAAATTAAATTCACACTTAGGCTGTTAGGTAGGTCGTCAAAACCTCATTAGTTACATGTATGTCCAGTGGTTGTCTCTTGTTGTGGCACTACATGTCACGCTTATTGAGTTTTCTCGCACTGGCACCTTTGTGTCATTATTGCAATTTTCGCTGTTTACTTTAGCTATCTTCTTCTTTGCGCTGTTTTACCACCTCCTTACTGTATTTAATCCACTGTTCCTTTTCCCTTGCCTGTATTTCACCTGACGAGAAGGCTTGAAAGTATACTTGTGAAAAAAACTTTCAAGATGTTCGTCATGAGCCTGATGTGTGTCCTCATTATGAGTATTATCGCATTTTGTCTCAGAGGAAACTGTTTAGATAACCTAATGTTAAAATATTCCGAAAACACAATATTATTACAGTAACTAAAGCCGACTCCTCTTCGCGATCTGTCAAGCTGCTTGGCTCTTTGTAAGGGTCCGCAGGGGATATTCAGGCAAGAATAGGTGCTGCGAATAGAGCGTTCGGCTCGATTTCATGATAGCGCCATAAACGAGCTCCAAACTTTGTATGTTCTCTGCCCTCATTCTGCCTATCCTGTTGTATAACTGCGGACTGCGGGCACTGACACAGCAACTCAGTACTCGGCTGGACGCATGGCACGGAAGAAAATTGCGGTACCTGCTTGGTGTTGTGTACCCTCACAACATTTCAAATGCTACGGTATACTCCTCAACGCGACAAGACTCAGTCAGCACTACCTGCCGCAGACGTTGGCTGCTCTGGCTGGGCCATGTTGTTCGCGAAGGACCTAACTCATCGTCCTACCAAACACTGGAGATGGCAATTAATACCCGGGACATCAAGCGCCCACGTGGCCGACCCCATCTCCGATGGATTGGTAATGTTAAACATGATCTAAAGCTCGCCAATATTGATATTTCTGACTGTTTTAAACTGGCTCTAGACAAGACAAAATGGTTGAAGCTTGTGGAAACATGTGCTGCGCTTGCGAAGTTGTTCTTACTGCGATACGTTCTAGCAATAATGAGATGACTTTTGTTGGCTTTTCTGCCTAGATTTCGTTGACAGATGCGTTAAGCTCATGGATCCTTCCATGAGTGACATGCGAACTGTACCTATTTTTATTATCGTGTTGTTGAGGAATATTATGAAGTTTAAGGGAGATGTGATGCAACAAAGTAAAAATATTTCAAAAATAATACCCCTGGGTTCAAACACCCCACAACTCGGAATAAGGGTTAAAGATATCCTGTTGAGCGTAGACTTTTGTGTTTGGAGGGAATGTTTCTTCTGCAAACGTTTCAAGTTTAGGCGTACATGTGCTCTTTGCAACACAATGCCCCATTCTTTCTCAGTTTCACACCTTGCTCATATATTGCGCCCATATTCCTCAGTAAAAGCAATTGTCATCCTATTCAGTATCACCTTCTCTGACGAGCCTTTTTGCTCATATACGTGAAACAGGTGTCAGGGTAAAAGTCAGTATCCGTACCCGTATTCCCGTAACCCCTCCTTGCTGGACTTTCTCTTGTGTGTAATGGCTTCTGACGATAGCAGCTAGTCGGCTGAAGAGCGCATGAAGCAGAGTAGGAATCACTATACATGACATTGTATCATTGCAAAGCTGAATGATCTCGCTCAAGTGACTATGGCATTATCCGCACCTGAGAGCAACAGGGTGTGCTGAAACTCTCCGAATTTGGACAGCAGCCCGCCTGCATTGGTCAGGAGGAGCTTCATGATTGCTGGCTGTCTGCAGGCAGTTGTTGTTGCTCGGCAGACTTTTGCTGCTGGTGGTCTTCGTCCAGTTTCTTGAGCAGTGAGCTGCCGGAGTCAGGTGAATCCCCATGCCGCCGCTTGCGGTCGGGAGGCAATAGTTATCACTGTGCTTCTAAAGCGCCGTGTGTACTTAAGGTCTTGCGTTTTCAGCTCAGACATGACCACAATATTTTTTAATATACGTACCGGACTAAGCCATACAATGCTGAGGCCACTTTGTTGCAAGAACGTACTAATATCCACGGCAGTCTCTAGAATGCCGAAGAGATTGAGTATGCCATTATGAGAAACTACCGGAGCGCTAATGAACGACGATCCTCTGCATAAGAAATAGGAAAAAGAGAGATGCCATGGGCACCGTTTAGATAATTGGCGCGTAAACGTACCAAAATCAAGGATCATTTCATCACAAATATGGATTTTCCCTCCACCAACACATACGAACATCTCCGGACATGGTTGGATTTAACTGCAAGGTTATTTTGGATTGAAAAATGCCACGTGGGGACTATTCATTCCATTATTTGTAATAATATTATTATACCGGTTTTAACACATGATACGGAGGGCATTATGGCTGATTTATGCCCTAGTGCGTAGACCGAGGTCGTGCACCGCAGGCCTGCAGTAGTAGTAGTAGTATTAGTAGTAATAGTAGTATTAGTAGTAATAGTAGTAGTGGTGGTAGTAGTAGTAGTAGTAGTGGTGGTAGTAGTAGTAGTAGTAGTAGTAGTAGTGGTGGTGGTAGTAGTAGTAGTAGTAGTAGTAGTAGTAGTAGTAGTAGTAGTAGTAGTAGTAGTAGTAGTAGTAGTAGTAGTAGTAGTAGTAGTAGTAGTAGTAGTAGTAGTAGTAGTAGTAGTAGTAGTAGTAGTAGTAGTAGTAGTAGTAGTAGTAGTAGTAGTAGTAGTAGTAGTAGTAGTAGTAGTAGTAGTAGTAGTAGTAGTAGTAGTAGTAGTAGTAGTAGTAGTAGTAGTAGTAGTAGTAGTAGTAGTAGTAGTAGTAGTAGTAGTAGTAGTAGTAGTAGTAGTAGTAGTAGTAGTAGTAGTAGTAGTAGTAGTAGTAGTAGTAGTAGTAGTAGTAGTAGTAGTAGTAGTAGTAGTAGTAGTAGTAGTAGTAGTAGTAGTAGTAGTAGTAGTAGTAGTAGTAGTAGTAGTAGTAGTAGTAGTAGTAGTAGTAGTAGTAGTAGTAGTAGTAGTAGTAGTAGTAGTAGTAGTAGTAGTAGTAGTAGTAGTAGTAGTAGTAGTAGTAGTAGTAGTAGTAGTAGTAGTAGTAGTAGTAGTAGTAGTAGTAGTAGTAGTAGTAGTAGTAGTAGTAGTAGTAGTAGTAGTAGTAGTAGTAGTAGTAGTAGTAGTAGTAGTAGTAGTAGTAGTAGTAGTAGTAGTAGTAGTAGTAGTAGTAGTAGTAGTAGTAGTAGTAGTAGTAGTAGTAGTAGTAGTAGTAGTAGTAGTAGTAGTAGTAGTAGTAGTAGTAGTAGTAGTAGTAGTAGTAGTAGTAGTAGTAGTAGTAGTAGTAGTAGTAGTAGTAGTAGTAGTAGTAGTAGTAGTAGTAGTAGTAGTAGTAGTAGTAGTAGTAGTAGTAGTAGTAGTAGTAGTAGTAGTAGTAGTAGTAGTAGTAGTAGTAGTAGTAGTAGTAGTAGTAGTAGTAGTAGTAGTAGTAGTAGTAGTAGTAGTAGTAGTAGTAGTAGTAGTAGTAGTAGTAGTAGTAGTAGTAGTAGTAGTAGTAGTAGTAGTAGTAGTAGTAGTAGTAGTAGTAGTAGTAGTAGTAGTAGTAGTAGTAGTAGTAGTAGTAGTAGTAGTAGTAGTAGTAGTAGTAGTAGTAGTAGTAGTAGTAGTAGTAGTAGTAGTAGTAGTAGTAGTAGTAGTAGTAGTAGTAGTAGTAGTAGTAGTAGTAGTAGTAGTAGTAGTAGTAGTAGTAGTAGTAGTAGTAGTAGTAGTAGTAGTAGTAGTAGTAGTAGTAGTAGTAGTAGTAGTAGTAGTAGTAGTAGTAGTAGTAGTAGTAGTAGTAGTAGTAGTAGTAGTAGTAGTAGTAGTAGTAGTAGTAGTAGTAGTAGTAGTAGTAGTAGTAGTAGTAGTAGTAGTAGTAGTAGTAGTAGTAGTAGTAGTAGTAGTAGTAGTAGTAGTAGTAGTAGTAGTAGTAGTAGTAGTAGTAGTAGTAGTAGTAGTAGTAGTAGTAGTAGTAGTAGTAGTAGTAGTAGTAGTAGTAGTAGTAGTAGTAGTAGTAGTAGTAGTAGTAGTAGTAGTAGTAGTAGTAGTAGTACTACTGAGTTTTTGGACATTGTATTGCATTGCTGCTCCATCTACATGGCTGTATTTGTGTTTCACATCTCCATTTCAAGTTTCCTAATAAAGATTGTGTCAAGTAGTAGTAGTAGTAGTAGTAGTAGTAGTAGTAGTAGTAGTAGTAGTAGTAGTAGTAGTAGTAGTAGTAGTAGTAGTAGTAGTAGTAGTAGTAGTAGTAGTAGTAGTAGTAGTAGTAGTAGTAGTAGTAGTAGTAGTAGTAGTAGTAGTAGTAGTAGTAGTAGTAGTAGTAGTAGTAGTAGTAGTAGTAGTAGTAGTAGTAGTAGTAGTAGTAGTAGTAGTAGTAGTAGTAGTAGTAGTAGTAGTAGTAGTAGTAGTAGTAGTAGTAGTAGTAGTAGTAGTAGTAGTAGTAGTAGTAGTAGTAGTAGTAGTAGTAGTAGTAGTAGTAGTAGTAGTAGTAGTAGTAGTAGTAGTAGTAGTAGTAGTAGTAGTAGTAGTAGTAGTAGTAGTAGTAGTAGTAGTAGTAGTAGTAGTAGTAGTAGTAGTAGTAGTAGTAGTAGTAGTAGTAGTAGTAGTAGTAGTAGTAGTAGTAGTAGTAGTAGTAGTAGTAGTAGTAGTAGTAGTAGTAGTAGTAGTAGTAGTAGTAGTAGTAGTAGTAGTAGTAGTAGTAGTAGTAGTAGTAGTAGTAGTAGTAGTAGTAGTAGTAGTAGTAGTAGTAGTAGTAGTAGTAGTAGTAGTAGTAGTAGTAGTAGTAGTAGTAGTAGTAGTAGTAGTAGTAGTAGTAGTAGTAGTAGTAGTAGTAGTAGTAGTAGTAGTAGTAGTAGTAGTAGTAGTAGTAGTAGTAGTAGTAGTAGTAGTAGTAGTAGTAGTAGTAGTAGTAGTAGTAGTAGTAGTAGTAGTAGTAGTAGTAGTAGTAGTAGTAGTAGTAGTAGTAGTAGTAGTAGTAGTAGTAGTAGTAGTAGTAGTAGTAGTAGTAGTAGTAGTAGTAGTAGTAGTAGTAGTAGTAGTAGTAGTAGTAGTAGTAGTAGTAGTAGTAGTAGTAGTAGTAGTAGTAGTAGTAGTAGTAGTAGTAGTAGTAGTAGTAGTAGTAGTAGGAGCAGCAGCAGCAGCAGCAGCAGCAGCAGCAGCAGCAGCAGCAGCAGCAGCAGCAGCAGCAGCAGCAGCAGCAGCAGCAGCAGCAGCAGCAGCAGCAGCAGCAGCAGTAGCAGTAGCAGTAGCAGTAGCAGTAGCAGTAGCAGTAGTAGTAGTAGTAGTAGTAGTAGTAGTAGTAGTAGTAGTAGTAGTAGTAGTAGTAGTAGTAGTAGTAGTAGTAGTAGTAGTAGTAGTAGTAGTAGTAGTAGTAGTAGTAGTAGTGCGGTCGGCGAGGTCCATCGCCGCATCATCGCCAGGGCAGTCATGCGAGTGGTGGAGAGCGATGTTATGGACGTTGTTGCACCTTCCCAATTATGCGTTGGAATCCCATCCGCCTGCGAGACTTGTGTCCACGCTATGCGTGAAGGGTTCAATAACCCCAGCACGGAAGGAATCCTGTTAGTTGACGCATCAAATGCGTTCAATTCCGTCAATCGTAAGGCTGCACTCCACAACATTCGGCGTCTTTGCCCAGCACTGGCAACGTTCGCTAGCAATACCCATACGGATCGCGTTTGTTCGTGACCGGCTCTGGCGAACTACATTCAACAGAGGGCACATGTCAGGGTGACCCTCTCGCCATGGCCATTTACGCCCTGGCCATTACCCCGCTTGTCCGCCGCCTGGCTCATCTGCACCCAGACACCTTCCAGTTGTGGTATGCAGATGATGATGCTGCCCTTGGGAGGCTGCTTCGTCTTCGCGGCTACTGGGACACGATCGCAGCTCTCGGACCACGCTATGGCTACAATCCAAATGCTCAAAAGACTGTGCTGGTGGTCAAGAATCATCTGTTGGAGCAAGCCAATACCGTGTTTGATGGCACGGGTGTCATAATCACTGGTGAGGGGTCCAAGTACCTGGGTGCACCGATCGGAACACCTGAGTACTGCAGCCAACACCTGGCTGCGGAGGTCGGTCGCTTTTCCCGCCAGGTCCGCCGGTGTGGTGATTTTGCGGAGACCCAGCCACATGCTGCGTATACAGCCGCAGTGAGAGGGCTGGTCCCCAAGTGGAGATATGTCATGCGTGCTTCGCTCTGCTCCGGCGAAACCATGGCGCCTCTCGACAGTGCAGTGGATAATCATCTTTTGCCTCCGCTGTTGGGTCAGTCAATTGCCTCCGGGAGCGCCTTGCGCAGATTGATGTCGGCACCTTCTAAGTGTGGCGGCATAGCCATCCCGATGTTGGCGGACATTGCCACGATAATGTACAACGATACAGTTAAGACGACTCGGCCAGTGCGGGGGCTATACAGGTTCCCGGACGTGCCTGAGACTGGTCGTGTGGGATCAGCTGCTGATGGCGGGGCGGATGGTGGTGGTTCGTCTGGCCTACGGGAGATGGCGGAGGCGCTCCAGGAGGCGGAAGGCGCACGGCGGGCTGCTGCACAATCAAGGCGTCGGGCTGGCAAAGCATCTTTGGCCAGTCTGCACGATCATCTATCCGCCACACAGCAGCTTTTGATGGACGTTGCCGGCTCTGCCGGTGTCTCTTCCTGGCTTACGGCGGAGCCTCGTCTGGCGCACGGCACCGTCTTGAATGCCAGTGACTTCCGTGATGCACTTGCTCTACGGTATGGTCTGCAGCTCCCTGGGCTACCGTCCACTTGTGTCTGTGGTGATGCCTCCACGATGGACCATTTGCTAACCTGCCCCGCCGGCGGGTATCCATCTGCCCGGCACGATAATGTGCGTGACATCCTGGCGGAGACGCTCTCCGAAGCTGTTCGCGATGTCGAGACAGAGCCACGTCTCCGGCCGCTGTCTGGCGAGGATCTGCCCTATGCGACGGCTAACCGGACTGATGAGGCTCGGCTGGACATTCGTGCCCGGGGCTTCTGGACAAGGCAGCAAGACGCTTATTTTGATGTTAGGGTAACCCACCCTAAGGCGTCTGTGCTGTCTGGTCCAGAAGTCCTTAACCAACTCAGGGCCCATGAACGGCAAAAGAAGCAGCAGTATGGTGCCAGGGTCACTGAAGTCGAGAGAGGCTCTTTCACCCCTCTTGTGTTCGCCACGAATGGGATGGCGGGGCCGGAGTGCTCACGATTCCTGGCGACACTTGCCGGTCGGCTCGCGGAGCGCAATAAAGACATCCGGTATTCAAGCATCGTCAGTGCATTGCGTGTTCGGCTGGCATTCTGCCTCGTACGGTGGGCAATAACCTGCTTTCGCGGTTGCCGATCATCCTACCAGCGTCGCGTATGCTCGTCGTTGTTGGTGCAGTGTCGACAGGCTGCCGGCTGAGATTCAGTGTCCATGCGTCAATCTGGACAATATAACAATAGCTGAAAGACCTTAACAATTGATTACTTCTCTTGACACACTAGTGCATTCTCTCTTTCTTTCTCTCTTTCGTTCTTACTCACTCTTTTCCATCACTTGTGTGCTTACCATGATATTTTTTTGCCCGTAAAAGTGGTTTGGTCAGTAGTAGTAGTAGTAGTAGTAGTAGTAGTAGTAGTAGTAGTAGTAGTAGTAGTAGTAGTAGTAGTAGTAGTAGTAGTAGTAGTAGTAGTAGTAGTAGTAGTAGTAGTAGTAGTAGTAGTAGTAGTAGTAGTAGTAGTAGTAGTAGTAGTAGTAGTAGTAGTAGTAGTAGTAGTAGTAGTAGTAGTAGTAGTAGTAGTAGTAGTAGTAGTAGTAGTAGTAGTAGTAGTAGTAGTAGTAGTAGTAGTAGTAGTAGTAGTAGTAGTAGTAGTAGTAGTAGTAGTAGTAGTAGTAGTAGTAGTAGTAGTAGTAGTAGTAGTAGTAGTAGTAGTAGTAGTAGTAGTAGTAGTAGTAGTAGTAGTAGTAGTAGTAGTAGTAGTAGTAGTAGTAGTAGTAGTAGTAGTAGTAGTAGTAGTAGTAGTAGTAGTAGTAGTAGTAGTAGTAGTAGTAGTAGTAGTAGTAGTAGTAGTAGTAGTAGTAGTAGTAGTAGTAGTAGTAGTAGTAGTAGTAGTAGTAGTAGTAGTAGTAGTAGTAGTAGTAGTAGTAGTAGTAGTAGTAGTAGTAGTAGTAGTAGTAGTAGTAGTAGTAGTAGTAGTAGTAGTAGTAGTAGTAGTAGTAGTAGTAGTAGTAGTAGTAGTAGTAGTAGTAGTAGTAGTAGTAGTAGTAGTAGTAGTAGTAGTAGTAGTAGTAGTAGTAGTAGTAGTAGTAGTAGTAGTAGTAGTAGTAGTAGTAGTAGTAGTAGTAGTAGTAGTAGTAGTAGTAGTAGTAGTAGTAGTAGTAGTAGTAGTAGTAGTAGTAGTAGTAGTAGTAGTAGTAGTAGTAGTAGTAGTAGTAGTAGTAGTAGTAGTAGTAGTAGTAGTAGTAGTAGTAGTAGTAGTAGTAGTAGTAGTAGTAGTAGTAGTAGTAGTAGTAGTAGTAGTAGTAGTAGTAGTAGTAGTAGTAGTAGTAGTAGTAGTAGTAGTAGTAGTAGTAGTAGTAGTAGTAGTAGTAGTAGTAGTAGTAGTAGTAGTAGTAGTAGTAGTAGTAGTAGTAGTAGTAGTAGTAGTAGTAGTAGTAGTAGTAGTAGTAGTAGTAGTAGTAGTAGTAGTAGTAGTAGTAGTAGTAGTAGTAGTAGTAGTAGTAGTAGTAGTAGTAGTAGTAGTAGTAGTAGTAGTAGTAGTAGTAGTAGTAGTAGTAGTAGTAGTAGTAGTAGTAGTAGTAGTAGTAGTAGTAGTAGTAGTAGTAGTAGTAGTAGTAGTAGTAGTAGTAGTAGTAGTAGTAGTAGTAGTAGTAGTAGTAGTAGTAGTAGTAGTAGTAGTAGTAGTAGTAGTAGTAGTAGTAGTAGTAGTAGTAGTAGTAGTAGTAGTAGTAGTAGTAGTAGTAGTAGTAGTAGTAGTAGTAGTAGTAGTAGTAGTAGTAGTAGTAGTAGTAGTAGTAGTAGTAGTAGTAGTAGTAGTAGTAGTAGTAGTAGTAGTAGTAGTAGTAGTAGTAGTAGTAGTAGTAGTAGTAGTAGTAGTAGTAGTAGTAGTAGTAGTAGTAGTAGTAGTAGTAGTAGTAGTAGTAGTAGTAGTAGTAGTAGTAGTAGTAGTAGTAGTAGTAGTAGTAGTAGTAGTAGTAGTAGTAGTAGTAGTAGTAGTAGTAGTAGTAGTAGTAGTAGTAGTAGTAGTAGTAGTAGTAGTAGTAGTAGTAGTAGTAGTAGTAGTAGTAGTAGTAGTAGTAGTAGTAGTAGTAGTAGTAGTAGTAGTAGTAGTAGTAGTAGTAGTAGTAGTAGTAGTAGTAGTAGTAGTAGTAGTAGTAGTAGTAGTAGTAGTAGTAGTAGTAGTAGTAGTAGTAGTAGTAGTAGTAGTAGTAGTAGTAGTAGTAGTAGTAGTAGTAGTAGTAGTAGTAGTAGTAGTAGTAGTAGTAGTAGTGGACAGTGTGCTCCCGAATGTGGCATCTTCCTCAAGACCCTCGCAACACAATTGCACCATAAGAACTCGGACATACCGTATCGTCTCATCATCAGCCACTTGCGCTCGAGAATCAGTCTATCTCTGATGCGGTGGCAGATTACTTGCTTCCGGGGGTCACGTGCATCTTGCTTTGTAACGGAGTGCCGTACATTGGCTCATATGCCGCGCTGACGGGCATCAATGGACTTGCCATAATATTGTCATTGGTTTCATTCTGTCTCAGAGTGTTCTGTTGTATTTGTTTTCGTTTTAAAAGCGTTTGAGCGGTTGGGTGAATGGAAACGTCACCGTACTGGTAGTAGCGATGCTTGGATGGTGTTTGCGGGTTTGCTCTTTGTTTTTGTATTCCCTAGTTGGCTTGATTCTTTTATTTTATTTTATTTTCTGATTGGATTTTCCTATTTATTTGATTTGATTTTTCTTGAATGGTTTTGTCACCATTGCTTTTCTTGCTTGCGCTTTTCAGTTTCTTCTTTCTGATACCCGGTTTGTTTTCAAATAAAGGCGAAGTTCAGTAGTAGTAGTAGTAGTAGTAGTAGTAGTAGTAGTAGTACTACTGAGTTTTTGGACATTGTATTGCATTGCTGCTCCATCTACATGGCTGTATTTGTGTTTCACATCTCCATTTCAAGTTTCCTAATAAAGATTGTGTCAAGTAGTAGTAGTAGTAGTAGTAGTAGTAGTAGTAGTAGTAGTAGTAGTAGTAGTAGTAGTAGTAGTAGTAGTAGTAGTAGTAGTAGTAGTAGTAGTAGTAGTAGTAGTAGTAGTAGTAGTAGTAGTAGTAGTAGTAGTAGTAGTAGTAGTAGTAGTAGTAGTAGTAGTAGTAGTAGTAGTAGTAGTAGTAGTAGTAGTAGTAGTAGTAGTAGTAGTAGTAGTAGTAGTAGTAGTAGTAGTAGTAGTAGTAGTAGTAGTAGTAGTAGTAGTAGTAGTAGTAGTAGTAGTAGTAGTAGTAGTAGTAGTAGTAGTAGTAGTAGTAGTAGTAGTAGTAGTAGTAGTAGTAGTAGTAGTAGTAGTAGTAGTAGTAGTAGTAGTAGTAGTAGTAG